CAACACGCCGCCAGGGTCGGCGGACCACCCTCTTAGACTCGAAGCGAAGCATCCGCAAGCTGCAAGAAATTCAGGTTGACAACTTGAGGAACTCAAGGACTTAAGGGTCTTATGGTCCACTTCCTCGAGATGGCGCTTTCAGAAGGTCGACGTCCAAGCTGGCATGTTGGTCCCGGCGGTCCCCCAATAAATTCGCCTGCAGAGTGGGCATCTTAGACTCTGAGCTTCAGCATGCCCATGAATCTCCAAACCATCCGAACCTCATTTTCGGCATCGATGCCAGCCAGTTACCCCAGTTACCCCTAGATGTGCCTCTAAATTCGAAGCAGGAACCTCTTGCAGCCCTCTGGATTTCTGCTCTGCTCGCAGTGGCGGCCTTCTTCGCGCGGCTTGGACTTGACTTAAGAGTTAGGGCTTCAGCCGATTCGGGAAAATTCAATACCGAAGCTTCTGAAGCTTCTGAAGCTTCAGCTGGGCCCCCTTGCGTGGCGGCACAGGGGTGGCCGCAGGAAGTGCAGTTGTTTTGGTGACGGTGAAGCGGAAAGCTGGGAGTTTTCGAGTCGGCGACCCCCTTTTCTCATTCACGTACATGGAATGGTACCGGACTCACGACGGCCAGGCGCCTTCCACCACTTCTCTATGCCGTACTTGGACAGATGCTTGGCTTCCGCCCCTTTTTCCTTCTCTTCTTAGTCTTAGAGGCACGCCGAAACCGGAAAATCGCCACTCGGATCAAAGTGCATATGTCCGGTGAAGGGCTTCAGCCCAGTCTATACACAGAGTGCCGTGCTTGCCAGCACGCGACCCTGCAACACCAAGTTATCTGCTTTTTGCTGAAGAACCCCAAAAATTATAAAAATAGTATTAGCAATAGTACCCTTAAGAATATTTCTTTAATTTTTTTGGGGGTTTTAAGCAGTTCGCAGCTATGCCACCGCTGGGCCAAAGGATGGTGGCTTTGCAGCATCTCGCCCTCTGCCTCTGGCTGCCATGCCAGGGGCTCGGAGCGCGGGGAGCAAAAGTTCTCCGAAACCCCCCCCAAAAGTCAGCCCCGTTTAGGGTTTAGGGTTTAGGGTTTAGGGTTTAGGGTTTAGGGTTTAGGGTTTAGGGTTTAGGGTCAGAGCCCCGAAAGCCCCCAGAGCTCCTGCTGTGCACACGTTGCTAATCCCCTAGTAGTACAAGACTCCTTCTCCTGCCTGAGGCCTAAGCTTCGTGACTTGGGCTGCCGGAAAGCCTGTAGGAAACCCCGGGAGAACCGTGTGAAATCTTCTGCTTCAGCAGACGAGCGCAGCCGTGTTCGGCTTGCTGTGTTCTTCTTTCGTTCAACTGCAAGAGGCTGTGCACGAATGTCACGTGCAGCTGCAATTGCCCAATTGCCCAATAACATCGTGTCCTCCACCACCTTTCGGAACTCTTTGATGGCGCTTGCTCGCAGCGCGACCGAGACTTGATACAAAAGGGTCGACCAGCAGCCCTCAGGCTCTTGGAAGCCTTTGAGGTGGCTTGCCGAATCCAGACGACTCAAAAAACGATAAGCCGACGATCTCCCACAGAACGCACTCGAGCTTGCATGCATGCGTGGCCCCCTTTCACCTGCATCGGTACCAAGCACTACGAGTCTAGCTTGTGGTTCTTACTGACAAGGTGAGACCTGCGGCAGCTGGCGCCTCCAAGCGCAAGGGCCGGGAGGTGCCAAAGGGGAGTACGTTGAGTACGTGGAGTCGTGCTTGCGTGTGAGGTCAGCAGGCTCACGGATGCAAGATTTTGTGAGAACTTTAGGAAGAATTCGCACACTGGGCATCATGCGCGCCTTTCGGAGAGTGCTACAATTCGGTGTGAGCGCCCTGTTGAGGCTTACTCTTGGGCCTCCACGGGCCATGGCTTCCAGGGCTTCTGCTAGTGAAGCTTGGCTCAGAGTCCGTGAGACACCGCAGTAGTAGGCTGGCTGGGGATGGTAGGTTTCATGGCCGGGCGGTGTATCCGCCAGGGGGCAAGGTTGGTGGTTTCGGGCGGAATAACCCATGTAGGTGTTGAGAGCATTCGAGAGTCGAGATGCATTCCACAGCTTCACACGGAGCTGCAACCGTTACGGGGTAGGTGAGTTCTCAAGGAGCGCTTCTGATTTCTGCCAGAGCCATCATATGCAAGGCAAGCATATAGAGTGCAGTCGCCGGGTTCACATGCACCTCCGTGGAGGGCATCCTGCCGTAATGCACGGCTATGGATGTAGCACAACGATAGAAGCATTGGGATGCGAAGCAAGGAGATCTGAAGGGCGAGAGCCCCAATTGCGTCAAACAAAATCCTAGTCCTACCCCTCACCTTCCACGATCAACTTCTGTGCGTGGTGCCACATCGCATTTGTGTCAACTGAGGTGTCTGGTCGCCGCTTTAAGTGCCCTACAGTGGAGGTGTCCTTGACTGTTCGCTGCTTGATGGCTTAGGCTTGGAATTTCACGATGGTTTTTGGGAATGTCCACAGTTCCCCCACACGCTTGTCCAGCAGGAGGCTTTTGACTTGCACTACGGATATATATATATATATATAGAAAAATATACACACACACATACATGAATCAGATTTAATGTCGAGGCCCCGTCCTGTGTTCTGGTGACCAGCACGAGCACCTGAACACATGAACCCTGCAAAGTAGGGAGCCTGGCAGGCGGCATGCGGAGCTGTGCGCGAACGCCGCGATTGTAAAGCTGCAGAGCATTCAGGAGTGAGTTTCGGGGACATGGTGGGAGCACGTAAAGCTTTGACTTGTCATCGCAAAAGCGCTCACAAGTTAGAGGGTCTCAGGATTGTAGAAGGGTATTGAAAGATGTTGGCAGATTTGAAAGCAATCCCATGTGGAAGGACTCCCACGGGATGCCTCGAGTCCGGTATGCCACGAATGCAGAGCAGGCACTGCATCACGATTGGCATGTTATTTTGGCATCCTAGACATTTTTTCCATCCTAAGGAGTGGCAAGAGGAGTGCGAGAAGTCCATTTCGCAAAGCATCAACGCTTGCAGCCTCAAACCTGAGCCCCCGAAGTTCTCTCACTGTCACTGCAAGCAGAATGCCACAGTGAACAGCAATGCCCATCATGGGGCACAGTGCGGGGGTAGCAAGCAGGGTATGCGGGAAGACAAGCCGGTCCTGGGCGGTCTTTATGCCTGTGAGGCCTAAGGCCTGTTTGCTTTAGAGGCTCGGATTTCAAACCGTGACCCCCTGGCCTGAAGACTACGATAGGCGGCAGAGTAAGGTAGACTCGTAGACCAAACAAGCACGAGCGCGGGTTGAAGCAGCTACTTGGCTTGTTACGCGGTTGGAGCCGGACACGCCCTCCCCACGCTTCCCTGCACTGTCCCAGAGGCCGTCGCCTATGCGGAGGCGGAGAGGCCTGGCCATGGTGTCTTGAGGACTTGCAGGGTTGTGGGTTCGGAGCTGGCAGGGGACGAAGGCCGCGACTCTGCCTACACATCCCTCCTCCATAAGCCTGTCCTCCGATATATTTTTTCACATATGTACACGTATACATATACTCTATATATATATATGTACATACATATATACACATATATATATATATATGTATGTATGTGTGTATGGATGCACACGAAGACTCCCTGCCTGGGCTCTGAAAAGAGGCGCCGCTTCCAGGAGGCCTTCGAAGCCCTGAAGTGCTCGTCCAGGGCCTCGGCCCAGGCCCCCCCCACGCTGCTTCCCGGGGAGGTTTCTCTCTCTTTTGTACTATCTGTGGTGTTTGGGCGACGTCTCTCTGTTTTGCGTGTGCTCTGTGTGTGCTCCGTGTGTGTGTGTGTGTGTGTGTGTGTGTGTGTGCTCTCTGTGTGTGCTCCGTGTGTGTGTGTGTGTGTGTGTGTGTGTGTGCTCTCTGTGTGTGCTCTCTGTGTGTGCTCTCTGTGTGTGCTCTCTGTGTGTGCTCTCTGTGTGTGCTCTCTGTGTGTGCTCTCTGTGTGTGCTGTGTGTGTGTGTGTGTGTGTGGTGTGTGTGTGTGTGTGTGTGTGTGTGGTGTGTGTTGTGTGTGGGTGTGTGTGTGTGTGTGTGTGTGTGTGTGTGTGTGTGTGTGTGTGTGTGTGTGTCTGTGTGTGTGTGTGTGTGTGTGTTGTGTGTGTGTGTGTTCTGTGTGTTGGGTGTGTGTGTGTGTCTGTGTGTGTGTGTGTCTGTGTGTGTGTGTGTGTTGTGTGTGTGTGTGTGTGTGTGTGTGTGTGTGTCTGTGTGTGTTGTGTGTGTTGTGTGTGTGTGTGTGTTCTGTGTGTGTGTGTGTGGTGTGTGTGTGTGTGTGTGTGTGTGTGTGTGTTGTGTGTTCTGTGTGTGTGTGTGTTTCTGTGTGTGTGTGTGCTCTGTGTGTGTGTGTGTGCTGTGTGTGTGTGTGTGTGTGTGTGTGTTCTGTGTGTGTGTGTTCTGTTGTGTGTGTGTGTGTTCTGTGTGTGTGTCTGTGTGTGTTCTGTGTGTGTGTGTGTGTGTTCTGTGTGTGTTCTGTGTGTGTCTGTTTGTGTGTGTCTGTGTGTGTGTGTTCTGTTGGGTGTGTGTGTGTGTGTGTGTGTGTTCTGTGTGTGTGTGTGTGTGTGTGTGTGTGTGTTGTGTGTTGTGTGTGTTCTGTGTTGTGTGTCTGTGTGTGTGTGTTCTGTGTGTGTGTGTGTTCTGTGTGTGTGTTCTGTGTGTGTGTGTGTGTTCTGTGTGTGTGTTCTGTGTGTGTGTTCTGTGTGTGTGTTCTGTGTGTGTGTGTGTTCTGTGTGTGTGTTCTGTGTGTGTGTTCTGTGTGTGTGTTCTGTGTGTGTTGTTTTCGTTTCTGGCGTTAGAATCCCGCAGGTTTCTGAGGCCGGGTTAACGGTTAGCATATGGGCAGAGCAGAGTTCCTGAGTAGAGGTTGCGGAGCCGCGTGAAAGTCCAAAAGCAAAGCCGCGCACTTCCCAAGGCTTCGCTGATTCTGCCCGCAATCCAACAGAATCCTTGATTCCTGGCCTCGGTTGTGCACTTCAGGCGGTAATCATGGCCGAGCCACTGCTGCAAGCCGCTCGGGCCGTGTGGGGGCTTCTTTGTGCTTTGAAAGGGAGGGCTTGAAATCTCCCATTCTTAGGATGCTGATACCCTCGGACAACCGAAGGATGCCCCCAGGTTCTTGCGGCCGAATAGGATCTACTGAGTATTTCTGAATCCTGGAGTCCGTGCCGAAGTCCCTCCGAAGTCCACCCTTCCCAAATTTCGGCAGTCGCTACTGTATAGCCCCTTAAAGGCTGCCTACGTCACCCTGAGGCTGTGTCAATCTGCATCCATCAGCTGCAGTCGCAGACGGCGCAGCAGCGAGAGCTGCAGGAGCCTTGTTGAACAGAGAGGGCATCTACAAGCCGAAGCCCAGCACACCCGACGTCCCCTTCATGGCTCCCAAGCCCCAAGCCCTGAGCTCCTACAACCCTACACCCTACACCCTACACCCTAAACTCAACTCTAAACCCTAAACCTCCTTCTATGACCAATTGAGGATTCGGAGCAGCTCCGGGATCAGAACGTCGCAGGTTGGATCGGAAGCATCGGCCGGTCCGAAACCTCGGCGGGGAACATGCGCCTTGGGCCCCACAAGTTCTGAGCCGATGACCAGCATCCAAAGCCCTAAAGCCCTGAGCCCTAAACCCTAAACCCTAAACCCTAAACCCTAAACCCTAAACCCAGCATCCTCTATTCTAAAGCATGAAGCCTTGGAGAAGCGCCCCCGGTGATCTTCAGTCTCGAATTCGAGCGTGGTGCCATCTGCAAAGAGGTTGAGGGCCCCTTGGACCGGACCCTAAGACTTTGTGCCCAGATTGGAAGCCGGGCTACTGGAGAAGTCCCAGTCGCGGGAGGCGCAAGCTTGGGGGTGTCCGTGTAGGTTGCGGGACGCGTGGCACGGCGCACCTAAGGGCTCGCAATGGCTCACGACGGGAAAAGTGCTTCTCTCTTTGACTTCAAACGCACTGAATGGAGCCAGGGGTGAAAGCCCTTATCCTGGCTCCTGTATGCAACCTCACTGGGCCTCTGAAAGGTGGAGTACGAGCTCGAGAAGGACGAGAGCGAGCTGAACGGATACGAGGCATAGTCGAAGCATGACAGGATGTCGGGGACGGATCTTTAGGGTCCTGTGTTTTTCTATGTAGTCGACCTAGTGATAGGCGGAGAGGGTTCGGTACGTTCTGAGTCGGGTTGGAGTTGATGAATTTTGTGGAGTTCTTGCTTCTCTTCAGGGCAGGTTGCATGAGCCCCGTGCACGGGGTTGACATGCGCGGCTGCGGCTGCTTATTGAAACAGAGGTGTTGAGCTGGTATCAATATGCGAGGTGCCTCTAAGCCGCACGAAGGGGAAGAGGAGCAACACAGTGTAACACACAGACAGGGAGATATTGAGGAGTAGCCCAGCCTTTGGGGGCGCAGTGGTGTTCCGCAGCTCGAGAAAAGAGCAGAACATCACATTACTAGTGACTTTACTCTAAGCGTAAGTGATGATAGAACTGACATGCCAACTCGAACTAAAGGTGCAGGATTCAGAGGCGCGGCCCGAGAAAGCCGTCAGAGGCTCCAGCTACCCTGTGCGTTGCAGGGAGACGAGGGCCTGCATGTGGAGTCGGCGGAGGCTTCGTTGCATCTCCAGAAACTCAACCTCACTCCGGCAACTTGGCTCGTCTCGGGCATTTCGCTCTGTAGTGTTCTCACATTTTTCATGACTATACTGGTAAAAGATTTTGGTGTTGTGTTTTTGTACGTTTATGACCTTCAGCAACTCTATGTGCATCCTTTGTATGTCGTTACATTTACATGTTGTATGATTATGTTCTTATATCGTTGCATTGCATATGATTCTAGAATGAATATCCTTGGCCTTTCTGGGACCAGGAGCTTTAAGTCTCGCAGAAGTACCAAAAAAACTTCGATCCATAAAGATGTTTCCCTCAGAGGCACGCAACACCCTTAAATGGTACTGCGTGCGATTACGGCACACAAGAAGTGGGCCAGCAGAGGGGGTCGTCGGAGATACCAGACTCTCCCAGGAAAAAATAAGGGGCCTCACTCAACCGCGACAAAGAAACCGTCGATATTGTCGAGTGCAGACGAAAGTACATCCCAGCTTAAACTCAGCCCTACATATACATGTATATATATGTATACATGTATATGTATGTGTATATATATATATATACGTACATATGTATGCACTTTTTTGCTTTCTATTCGCATGATGGCCGAAGGTAATGTACCATACGTAATACGGCCCATTGAGTCGACTGCCACCTCCTCAAATGCACTTGCAGGACAAGGAAAAAAGGAGAAAGATGAGGCTTCCGATGGCTGATGTTTTAATTGAAGCTCCTTCTTAGCCCAGCTTTGTGTATGCCGAGGCAATGGCCAGAGACCTCAAGGCCTGGCGTCGGCCTTTTTTTCAGGCTCTTGTGCAGGATTTTGGGACTCGGATTTGCAAAGAGGAGGGGCTTTATGGGGCTTTTTGGGGCTTAGGGCTTGCAGGGTTTTATGGGTCCTGAGGGGTCTCGTACGGAGGTGCGCCTGAGTTCTGCTTGGAACATCAGCTCTCAAGATCGTAGGGTAGAAACCAGGGTTTGTGACATCATTGTTCGTTTACTGTTGGTTGGTAGGGAATGAAAGCCTGGCAGCAATGTTGTTCGCGATCTTGGTCCCATTCCTTCATTCGCAACCAAGCAACAGTAAGTCCTTCTCTGGACGCATCCGCTCCTACTCAGGTGGGCATGTGGAATTTTGATGCCATTCAAACAGCCCCTTGCCCGAAATCGGCAGAGGGCCAAAGCCAATCGCGGCTGCTCCCGTGGAAGCCCTTAAGCAGCCTCCACAGCCCAGGCCAGCGAGCACGGCTCCGTGCTAAAGATCGTCGGCATGGAGCTGGTCGGCAAGGCCTCTTGGGAGCATGTTGTCTATGCAGGGCCCACCCAAAGGCCCCCTAAACCCTAAACCCTACGCCCGAAGGTCGTTTGGCGCTGGGGGGTTGTAGGCCCGCAGGGGGCGGCCCAGCATCTCAGCAAACTCCACCAAGCGAACACGTAGATCAGAGTCTGCAACCCCCCAGTTGTTGGCAAACTCTGTGGCTTTGACAGCCCTCCCTGTCTGAGGCTTCGTTCATCTCGAGGAGAACTGCAGAGATCTCACAACATACGCCTACGCTTGGAGTTAAACCCTCAACCCTCAACTCCAAACCCTGAACCCTATAAACCCTAAACGACTGTCTCAGGCGTCTCCTCCGAGTTCCATGTGATTGGTTTCTCTGGACATCTTGAGTGCACGGCGTACACATTTGCATCTGTCTTGCCTGTGCGGAAACATGGGGAAACGCTGTGGCTTGAGTGCATTCAACCATCTACCCCTAATAATGGAGATGTGGGGATTCGGGAGTTCCGGCAGATTGCGGAAGTTAAGGGATACTGCTGAAGACCTAGAGAGTCAGGACTTAGCGGGTGAGATGATTATAGTGCCCACTGTTCACATTCCCTTTCCTTGCTCAAGTCCAAAATGCCTCCACAACACGCAAAACCTCCCACAGGCAATCTTGTGAGGCTCTAAGACTCTAAGAGGCTCTAAGTCTGCAGCTTTCTTCTTCGCAGGAGCTGCCTGGCACCTTTTCTGGATGCCATGGAGGAGAGGCCAGGTGGTCAAAGGGTCAAGGTATGGTTTCGGGTTTCGGGTTTAGGGTTTAAGGTTATCTTAGGGAAGCTGTTCGGTTCTTCGCGACCCGAGCTTCTGGCGCTAAGGGTTTGCCAGGCACAGCGCTCTGGAGAGGCGAGTAGCAACCGAGTCCAACGGCTGTCAAGCCCTGATGGATAAGCAAAACGCCTGTGAACGTTGTGAACGCTGGGGCCTCTTTGTGCAATCCTCTGCGGGATGAGAAGAACGCAGCCGTAAAGCAGCCATGGGCAGCCTTGATCTCACGAATCCCGGCCCCAGCATCGGCTTCGGCCTCCCTACAGAACCTGCGTGGCGCAAGCTGCGGGGGGTTCCCTGGTGTGTCAGAACCCACTCGGCTAGACTCAGCATCGGAGAGTCTAACCCATCTTCTCCAGGACCCACAACAGGTACATGTGTGTGCCGAAGCTGCCAGGTACTTAGTGAATCCCTACCACTCCAGCGCTCACGCAGCCGACGCGGCGAACTCGTTCCAGGCGAGGGGGCTCTCAGGATCCAGGGTCCAAGTGTGGCCCCGAGAACACACCCGAGAACTTGAGTTTTTTCTGCATCAGTGCCTGTCAGTATGTGGGTGGTTGTAAAAATAATGGTCCCTTTTGGATCCCTATTACGGCACCTAATATCTAGAGTACCCCAAAACGGATCATAATTTTGACAACCACCCGTGTATATGCACATGAAGGCCCACACATGCACGAAGATCTGCCGCCAGCAGTCCCGGCAAACTCTTCGCAGGTCCTCGCCTCCAGCTCGGGCTTGCTGCACTGCTCGTCCTCACCCCTCCCGGCGCTGCGGAGCGCCCGCCGGCTCAGGGTTTGAGGACTTTTGGGCATTTTTGCTTGATGCCCCGAATTCTTTGGCGTAAGTCCCGGGGCCGCTAGTTTAACCAAGGGGGGGCTCGCTTCTAGGGTCTACACCGTCTACAGCGGTGCTATAGTTGATGTAGACTCATTACGCTTGCAGGCGTTCGCTGCGCCGCATCCTTCTGATGTCCCCCAGACATTCTGGCCTGTCCGTCATATGGGTCCATCGAACTGCGGCGCCCTTCGCATGAAGAGCCCTGAACCCTAAACCCTAAACCCTAAACCAGAATCTGCATCAGGTCTCCATGTGCGTTGCTGCCCTTGGGCATGACTTGGGCCATCCAGGCCACGCTGCCCCTAGTGCGGCCTCATCATGGGTTTAAGGTTTAGGGTTTAGGGCTACAGAAGCAGTGTTGGGGGTCTCGAATCCAAACCCCACGTGTGTAGTTCTCTGCTGCCAGTAGATGTGGGAGCTTCAACTCTAGCAGCATGAGCGGCGCATCTTTTCTGGGGGCATTTCTGGCCATAGACTTGGGGGGTGTGGGGGGGCTGGAATGATCGATGCCTTGACGCGAGGGGCGTTTCTTTTTTTGGCTGATCGCAGTGTTGTCCGTGTGCCGCGCATCATGCCTGCAACCTTAGGCGCCTTAGACATCAGGCCCTAAACCCTAAACCCTAAACCCTAAACTGTAGCCCTGAAGCCTTCCGAAGGCCTCAACAACAGCTTCCAAATTAACTCCCGGGATGCCCTGGCTGCTGGGCTTCGACTTCAGCTTCAGAAAATCGGGGGCAAAAGAAAGGTTCCAGAGCGTTCCTTGAGGAAGCGTGAGGGCTGATTGAACTCAAGGTTCTTGGGGGAAAGGTTGACATGGTCATAGCACCAGATACTCCAGCCTGTGGCAAAAACGGCTGTGCAAACCTGTCAGTTCGACTCTTCGCGTCTTAGGCCGTTACATACAACGACCGCTCTGTCCTGGAGAACTTCCATGCCGCTGAGTTGGCAGCCGCCTCAGACGAATGGCTTGGTTCGGCAATGTTATCGGCCTTGGCAGGCGTCATTCTATTTGTCGGCAGCCGGCTGTTCAGATGTTCCTGCATCGCTTTCCGGAACTGCCCGGTAAGTCAACCCTGTGCCTTGAAAATGGTAGCAGCATGGCAACAACAGTTCCCAGGTCAAGACTCCAGTCCTCCAAAAAAGCCCCCACAAGCGCAACACAAGACAGAAGCTTTCCCTCCTGGATCAGGAGCGGCTTCTTTCGCGGAGGTATGGGCCGCGCCAAACGAAGCTCCTCGAGCTTCGATGGGTGTCGGGTGGACGGTTTGCTTCTTGGGGGCTCCACAAAGCAGAGCACCAGACGATCCAGACGAAAGTACGCTTGCGGCTCACAGTGTGACACCTCTGATAAATATAGCCCTTATGGCCTCTGTTTGGGGTACCAAAGTGACTAAGTCAGGGCGTTCGGTGTTCGGATTCTGCAGAATTCTTCCGGGCTGGCCCGTCAGCGAAAAGACCCCCATGATCTCTTCGTCATGAACGCGGCTACAGCGTGAAACAGATACAAGTAGTATCAGCTTGGCACCCATAGGTTATTCTCGCAACGGTTCATGTGTTGGGAGGCTGCAGAAAAGGTGTCGAGCAGGGAGTAGGAGGTATTGCGTGGCGGGGGAGGAGAATGAAATACGATGCACTCTTCTTATGCAGGGAGAGGCAAGGAGAGGGAGACACAGACAGAGAGAGAGAGAGAGGAGAGAGAGACCCAGCAGCGGGCCGTCGTGGCCGGGACTTCCTTTTGGGGAGGCTCCTTCGCTGGGTAGAAGCAGAAGTAGAAGAAGTAGAAGAATAAGATAGAGTAAGAAGCCGAGAGAGAGAGAGAGAGAGAGAGAGCAGCCCAGATGGTTTCACAGTCGAGGCATTGTAGGGCGTTTGTGGACCTGCATGGTGGAATTTCAGCCCGTGGGTCGCGGAAAGCCCTCCTGAGGCTGATGGCCATCCCTCAGAATCACGAAGCAAGGGAACGGCAGGCGGGATTAGTCAGCAGAAGAAAAGGACCAGTGGCCAGTTCGATTCTTCGCTGCATCACAGTCTCAAGCACCCCAGAGGCCTTTCAGAACGGCACCCCCCCCCCATACCCCCCTCCCGGAACCCAGAGGATTCACCCGTCTGCTGCGTTGACCCTAAACCGCCGCCTAAAGCCCAATCCTCCTTCGGCAGGTTCGCATCTCTATGATCCTCTCCACGGACCTCTCGAAGCACATGCAGGCAAACTCTGTGGGGCTTAAACTGGCAGGTCTCCAGAATGGGGATGCCCCTTATGTAGTCAAACTTCGACAACCCCTCATTATTCCACAAGTACACACTGCAAGCGGCCAGCGTCTTCAAACTGGGCCCATCTCCCCAAAAATCCAGGACCTTGGGGACCTCCGGCTACGGCTTGGAAGCGGGGACTTCGCCGCACGGCCACCAAAAAGGGGGTTGTCACAGCGTCAGAAAGGCTTCGGGGGGAGTATTTGGAATTCAGATGATGTGGGGGAAGGGGGAAGGGTTGAGTCTTGAGGCATGAAGGCCGGTGGGAGTTATCTGGAGCATTGCCGATCCGCAAACCTGAGGCTAAGGACACGCGTTGCAGGCCGTAGGATGCTGTCGGGTTTGAGGGCCAGGTTGGGTCGATTTGCAGAGTAGAGGGAGCCCAAATCCTAATTGCAGCAAGGGCCCAAAAGCCAAGGACCCATTGGAAGTCAATGCCGATCAGCAGTTGGCGCTGCCGCATGGCAGAAGTGTGTGTGTGTGTGTGTGTGTGTGTGTGTGTGTGGGGGTAGTGGGGTGATGGGGGGGCCAGGGGGACTATGTCGGGCTTTGGGCTTCCTGCCGGAGTCGAGGATTGGAGTTCTCCCTGTAGAGCTCTGCTTGCCTTGCGATCTTGTGCCCCAACCGAGGACCTGGTACTTTCGCGCATCGGATATTGGACATTCAGCGAAGCCATGGGATATTCACAGGCAAGGAGCATTGGGGGTTGAGAGCCGTTCTTCCAAGGCAGCCAGAGGGGGCAGGAAGTCATGGGTCCTTTTTTGGGGAGTTTTTGTCGGCTCTTTTGGCCTCGAAGAGGCGCTGGTCCGAGCGCTTGGTGGAGGAGCCTGCTCTCTTGTGCTTCTTGGGATTCTGTGCGCGAATTCGCGAAATCCCCCGACTTGGCAACTTTCTTCACGTTCCTCACATCTTTCTCGGCCAAAACCCGGCAATTCAGACAGCCTCTGAGCCCCGAAGCACTGGTCTTCTTTCTGACGAGGAGTTCCATGCCCAGGGTGACGTGGAGAAAGGCCGGCACCGGCAGTCACGGAAAGGGGATGACAAGCTTATGCTGGCTAACAGCTGCGAACACGCCTTTCTTTTTCAACAGCCCAGCAAGAAGGGCACATGGTGCTCGACAACTAGTGCGGCTACTGTCAAGAGGGGGAGAAGCGCATTCACAGGAGGCCATGAGTCAGGCATCAGCCAGGAACCCATACCCGAGTGGCGAGAGTTGCCAGAGCGGCAGGGCACAGCACCCTCGAATCCCCCCACGGAGTGTCCTTCGAGCATTCCATAGGCATCTGTAAACTGCACAAGGATTCCAAGGACAACGGAGCATTCGGGAAAAAGGTGCGGGGAAGAACTCAGACCCTCCTCGACCCTCCTCGCCTCTCTCCCGAGGCCTGGGTTTGCCACTGTCGCCACTCTGCACCCCTGCGGCAGCTAGGGTTTGGGGATGTTTGGGGTTCATGGTTCGGGTGTTTAGGGTTTAGGGTTTTCAGATGTTTTCAGGTTTAGGGTGAGTATCAAGAAGGGTTGGCCAAGGGTTAGCATCGGCATGGAAGCGCTCTGGGAAGTTTGTAGGCTTAGGCCGGGCGGGCGATCGGCTTGTCCTACAGGCCCAAGAAAAGGCCCTCAACTCAGCCACCCAGCCCCACCGAGGCGACAGGCACAACTTCGACCTGTCCAAATCTCAAACGGGCTTTCTGCAGTTCGTCTGCATCCCCATGTTCGAAGACGCATGGCTGCACTCGGGTGGGAGTGGTCGTAAGGGCCGTGGCTGTCAAGACGTCTGTTGTAGAAGAGTGCGGAGCGCGGCTGCCATGTTGTGAAACCCTACGTCCTGATCACGCCTCTTGGGCTTTCCCGGGGAGCCCTCGGTCCCATGGCTTCGGGAATCTTGTTCAGGTGATGAAAGTCGAGGCGTCAGGTAGTTCAGCTCTGTCCAGTAGCTTTCGACCAGCAAGGTGGCAAGCAGTTTGCTCACAATTTGATGTTGAGCTGACGCTGTTCAGAAGTCTCTGAGCACCCCAAGCAAAGCAGGTGTACGTTACGTTGCGAAAACCCTAAACCCTAAACCCTAAACCCTAAACCCCCGTGCAGAATGCCCTCCAAGACTCTGAGCCGAAGGAGCTTGGGAGACTGGACGATCTCCTCGAAAGCGGCTGTGAGCTCAACAAGCAAAGGCGAACTCTTTGGGGGAGTAGGGTTTAGGGTTTAGGGTTTGGGGTTTGGGGTTTGGGGTTTAGGGTTTAGGGTTTAGTGAGGGTTTTGTCAGATATTCGAAGTGCGGAGGTGCAGGGAAGTCTTCGAGCTTGCAGAACTAGCTAGGTGATCTTGTGCTTCAGGAGATCCATCAGTTTAAAGTTATAAAGTTTACACGGTTGATGCAACACATGTTTTCGTAAGTTGCATTCATGAATTCATGAGCCCTTGATGGTCCTGAACCAGTGGCCTGCTGTACTGCCAAAAGGCACAACAACTCGGCACTCCTAGGGCGCACCGGCAGGAATCGCCTGGACTTTGCCTTTAGAACCACCCAGCTTTATGAACGAGCGTATGCCACCCTAACCATATGGGTGGGTTTACCATAACAAGAGACCCCGAATATAGACCCCCAAAATAGTCGGATCCCCTTAGAGAGTATAAGGACCCCAAAAGGTACCCCCCTCATCTCGTCAAACCCCCATGTGAATTAGCCGAATGCCCCCCCCATGTTTGCAGGAAGAAGCCGGTCACATCGGTCTCTTTGCATCTTTCCCGCCATGACATGAAGCTTGGCACAAGAGGGGCAGCCACTCTCGGGGTGTCTCAAGCGCTGTACGGTCGGTTTGCAACAGGAGAGATCGCCAGAGACGGGGGTTCTTCTGTGGTTTTTTGGGTTGCTGGGCCGACCCGGAGTTTTCCGTTGGACCGCTTGTTGCAGCTTGTCTCGGTTGATGGCTTATTCATTACTCATTGCGTGCCCGATGAAGGTTGGAGCTCGCGACGCTTGACCCGCAGGGGGAGGAAAGGGCCGACCCTGCCGAGGAAAATCTTATGATCCCTTTACAGGGGGGATCTTGCACCGACCATCTCCCTCAGGGATCCTCTGTATCCATGAGCTCTGTCAGCTCTCTGTAAGCTCGATGCTGAGGAAGGTGGTACCTTGGGAGGACGTCGTGCCAAGCGTGGAGCTCAAGGTTGGCGCCTCAAGCGGCTGAGTTCCCCTGTACTTAGGGGGAGAAGGTTCATGACAGCTCTGAGGCCCTATGGATAGTCTATGGATCTCAGAGAGGCCCTTTAAGAGAAGCCGGGTCTTATCCCCTTCCCTGTGGGGGGGCATGGAGTGCCCTGGAGCGTTTGGGACATGGGGTGGAAGTAAACAGCTGCCAGCTCGACCCACTCCATGAACGATGACCCAGCACAGCCCGGGCCGGATTTTTCTCTTGTTCCGAGGTGGAGTCCAGGCTCTCGCGGTCATTCACCGGAGGCGCTCTCAGAAGCGCCGCGTTCAAGAAGCCAGCTTCTGCATGCCTCTGGAACCTGTGAAAACCCTGGAGCCAGAGAATGGCCAGCGATCCCCTCGTGGGTTAAAGCCCAGACCCTAAACCCTGGAACCCAAACACCCTATGAACCCTAAACTCCCTGAACTCCCTCAACTCGTCTTCCCGCAGGCGTGCCTCCCGAAGTGGACAAGCATCATCTCCCTGGTCGCGTGACCATCCGCATCGCACAGAAGCCTCCTGGCACCGTTTGTGGAGAGTTCTAGTATGTTCTAGCATGGTTGTAGTAGTTGTTTAGGGTTTAGGATTTAGGGCTACTATGTCCTAGCAGTTCTAGTACGCGCCGTCTTCGGCAAATCCCCGATGCTTTCAGGGTTCGAGGGCCTTGGCAGAAGCAAAATTCTTGCCTTTGCCGAGACGCACACCCCTCTCCCAAAAAAGGGGGGGGGGGGGGTGGTGGGAGGGAGACTTGGGTGGAGGCGGCGACTCCTTACCGAGCTAGAGAGGTTGGAAGCGGTTCTGAGAGGTTCAAGACTTGAAGGCCCCACCACCACCACCACCACCACCACCACCACCACCACCACCACCACCACCAAAATGTCTTGAAAAGTTGGGGACTCCGGACTCGCTGAGGCTCCTCCTCCAGTGCAAGGACAACATGAACAGCTGGACACTTGGCCTGCTTGGTGCCTCTGACAATTGTGGCGGGCGTGGGGGGGGCTCACAGGCTCATGGAGCGATTTTGTGAGAACTTTGCACCTGCAGGAAGAACTACGTCGACGACTTCTGATGGCGCTTCTCAGAGGTGATTTTCAGTAGAGAGGTCCTCGTGGGGCTGAACCGCTTGGGCCCGGAAAGCAAAGCCCAACCCTGCTAGGATCTCCTTTTTGCCCAGGATTGCTGGAGTTGAGACCCAACTCCGCCAAAATTTGAAGACTCGTTGTGCCGCTGGGTCAGGACCAGGACACAGGGGCCCAGATGCTTCATTTCTTCCAGCACCGTATCACGGCAACCAGGGAGACTGGAAGGCACAAGGCACACAAAGCAATTCAATTCCTTCGTTAAAGCGCAGCTTTCGCAAAAACCAGCGGCACATAGCGGCACCGATCACACGCGAGGGTGGCCGACAGTTAAAGACTGAGCCCCACTCGCGCGCCTCATTTTTTCGAGTGAACTCTGCATGACGTGCACCCTGGGAGCCATCAAGGGCCCGCCCCCCCCTGATGCGAAGTTTCCTGGATACCCAAATGTTCGTTCTTCGCGGATAAGTGCCCTGCACCTCACAGCCACCTGTTAGGCACATCAGCCCGCCACGCACCGCTAAACCCGAACAAGCCCGAAAAAGCTCCACAGCCCGGGCACGCATGCGAAGAGTTTGATATTCTGCTGGGTGGATAATTGCAGCACCACAGGGTACTGCCTGGATCGGGTTGGTTCGAGGCAGAGTGCGCATTCCTTTTCTGGACTTGCCACCTGCTTGACCCCAATTCAGGGGTTCTGGACGTCAATGTTCCGGAACCGGCAGCTGTCCCTTTATCAAGCTCGGCCACCCAGGAACTCGAAGAAGAGGAAAAGAGCCCGTCATGCGGCACAGGTTTGAGGAGTTCTGGGGAAGTAGACCAAGGTCCTCAAGAGTGTACATACCGGACAGGCTCTGCCAAGACGGTGCCTGGCGAACGTCCCCAGTTTGATGTTTTTCCTTGGTGGGTCCCTGTGTGGAAGAATAGGTTGAATACGTTGTCTTACTAGAGTATATGGGAAAGGCAAGAATTCGAAGAATGCAAAAGTCTAAGTAGTAGTATACTAGTATAGCAGTATAGTATGATCATACAGCAATATCATAAAATAAAAGTTGAATAATTTAAGAACAACATGCATTTCTTGGTTTAATGAATACATACATACATACATACATACATACATACATACATACATATATATGTATGTATGTGTGTATCAGAAATTTGAAATATAAGAATATTAAATGCAAAAGTATACTAAGTACTATAGGAATACGGGATATATATACATATATATGTATGTATATGTATACTTTACATATATATATATATGTATACTTTATGTATACATATATATATATATATTCAAATATATACGTATACATAGCAATATACCTGTCATTTAAGAAGCCGGGCAGGCCAAGCTGCCCATCTCGACGATTCGGTGCGCGCCGCAATTGGGGTGTGGGGCGGAGCTCTTTTCTTCCATTTTTGGGATACGGGGGGGGGGGGGGAGTAGGGGGAATTTTTGTGAGGGAGTTTTTGGTGCAGGATGGTTTTGTGTTGGGTGGTTGGATTTGTCTCTTTTTTTTTTTGTGGGGGGGGGGGGGGGGGGGGGGGGGGGGTTTCTGTTGGAGGAAGTTCAGGATCCAGGTGGGAGGAGGGGCCGTGTTCAGGATTCCATGGTCGTGCTGCGGATTGCGGATTGTATGGGGCCTTGAAGCTTACGTTTTGGACTCTCAAAGGCTACCCGGAACATCCCGGAAGCACCCCCCCTTTTGCCCATCCGTTACAAGGTTGCCATGATGCGGAGGCTCAGCCCGGAGTTTGGGGGCTGTTGGGAGTTGCGGAAATGCATGAGAACCCATTGCGCGGGAAGAGAAGCAATTGGTTTAAGCTGGGGCTCCATTGGCACAGCTCTGTCACCGGGAGTCTTAAACAGGTAGGGCGAGGTGGGCTGTCGTACTTCAGACAGTAAAGATGGGTAAAGCTTTTTGCAACGACCGCGAAGGCATCACTCGTATTCAGAACCATGCCCGTGCCCGGAGTTGTATCACGACGTAAAAAGGGAAGGCTTGGAAGGCTTCGAAGAAGCCACGGAAATTGGCCGGGATTGATGGTTGGATGCTCAGAGGAAGGGGGCTTCGGATTGGAATTCCGAGAAGGTGCAATCAGTCGACCGATGTGGCAGTCGATCCTGATCCTGACATGTGAAATCATGGACACTTGGAGTCGTCGGAGTGGCAACTAGCCCAAGCCGAAAAAATGCCAACTCTCCTTCTCATCATGTCTCATCGGCTATGTACTGTGTAATGAATGATGCGCATGATGCGCATGACCCGTGCGGCAGTGCGCGGGAGTAGGGCACGGGGCAGTGCACCGGAGGCTGGGTACCGTCGGGTATGTGGCCCCGGAAGTTGTGGACACCAGCAGCCCAGCAGCACTTAAGGCACTCAGAGTGAGGCACTGTTGCCACTGCTCAGACTGCAAGCACGTGCTGCTACTTAGGAAGTCCTGGATACGGGAGCTTAAGCCGGAGGCTTACTCATCAGGGTTGGTTGCAAGCGGTGTGGCTATGGCAGGTTTCCGGTCCGCGGAGCAGAGATTTGGCCCAACTGGCTGGTCTGACCTAAGCTGCGTAAGCCTCTGAAGGAGCCACTCAGAAGCTCGAAAACGTGGTCATGGCATGGACCAACGAACCCACAACATCATGCAAGGCCAACAATAAGGGCCGGTGGCCAAAAGTCAAAGAAAGCTGCTGAAACTTGCGATGCCTTAAAGACCTGTCGGATCTCCAAGGTGATGTTTTCAGTGCTGGCGCGCTGCTTTTCTACGTCTACTGTGGCGTCGAGGAAACCGGCACAGAGCTGTCTTGAGCACGCAAACATATTCAAGTTGCTTTGGATTTTGATTGCAAACGTTTCAGGGAACTGCGGGGCGTGGGTGGGCGGGGGGAGGAGGGGGGTCGTGCTGTGAGACACGCAACTTTGTTGTCGGGGCTCAACACCACCCATGCTTCTGGCTTCAACATCGCAGGCCCCCCCCTAGTAGGGTGTCGGGGCCGGTCGATACAGGCAGGTGGGGTTTGGGGGGCCCTGGGGGTGCAAAATGGGGCGGGGGCTGGTTTTGCCAAAACGAGGCGACTTGAAGTTGAGAGCTGGAGAACTGCGAAGAAGGGTTCTGCAGTTATGCATATTCAGGCCTTGTGTTGTTTTGGCGTGGGCTCTCTGCTTTCACAGCGCTTGCTTCAGCTTGCGGAGTTTGGGGATCCGAGAATCGATTCCGCTTCTACAGTCCCCTGGGCCGAGGCAGTGTCGTGAACTTCCCTTGCTCTTCGTAGGTAGGATAAGGGGGGCCCCTTAAAAGGGAACCCTCCTTAAGCCTCTTCTGGCTCTCTTGAACAGGGACCTTATTGAGAGAGTCTGTTATCCCCACAAGTCCCCCGAATACACGTTACCACACCCAACGCAAACCTAGAGCACGGTCCAAACAGCACGCGGTAATCATCTTGGGAGTCATCACATGAAGCCACATGAAACATCGTAGTGGACCCAGGTGCAGCGGTTCACCACGTATCGCCACATGAACCTTGATGCATGCCTCAGCTTGGCACAATATGTAGACCGCTTTACGCTTCGGACTTCAAGGTGTTCGGGACATGAGCGTGCCGTTCAGACGACGACCGCTAAATTACATACCTGTGAGCCTCATCGTGTCTGTGGCATGACATATCAACAAGTTGTTGATCTTGGGAACCTTGGGTTTAGGGTCTAGGGTTTAGGATTTAGGGTTTAGGGTCTACTCGATAACATGATGATGTGAGTTAACAAACAGATGGGGAGTTGCGTTTGTCGATACAGCGAATCAGATCCCAAGAGGACACGCTCCAAGTTATTGAGGGTCTCGTCTTGGGGACTGAACATAGAGTACTTCAGGGAGCTTACTGTCCGAAAATGATGTGCGTACTCAGAGTACAAGAAATCTGATGGGAGATGCTCCAACTCTTCTCTTGGCAAGGCGCTGAGGGAGGCGAACAGCAGCTGCTGCCCCAGTCTGTCGTGCAATTGAAGCCCCTGGGGCCAGAAGCGCGATTTCTGAACCTTTTTAGGATTTTAGAAGAGCCGCCTGCGATGCGGAGGCGTCCAAAAGATCCCCCTCCCCCCAAAAACTTTGGGTCGCCTCAGGTGCGAGCCTCCAGCGCACGCTGGCTGGCAAAGCCAAGTTCAATCACCCCAAGGTCAAGCAGGCCCTGGGAGCCTCCCTACCTCCCTAAACGCCCAAACTCCGAACTCCCCTGAACTCTCTGAACGCCCAAAACTTCCCCCAGACACCCTCCATTCCCTGAAGTTGCCCTAACAAATGGGGCGGGGGGGAACCGGGGAGTTGCCCCGCGCAGGTCCGCACGGGAACGCTGCACCTTCTCAAGAAGATGCTGGCCATCAGCCCCTTGGGCCCTTCCGGAGCTCCCCCCCCCCCCCGTGCTTTTGAACCCCCCCTTTTTTTTAGGGTTGGGGTTCAGGATTTAGGGTTTAGGGATGTTTAGGGTTAAGGGTTCTTCCTATGATTTGAAGAGGTTCGATCCAAAATGAGCATGTTTTTTGAACTAGGCGTTTGGGTCTTTGCGAGCTGCCCATGCGGACGTTGGGGGTCTTTTAGGCTGCTCGGTCATCATAGGTGCCAGTGTCTAAACTGCGCTGAGGGTTTTCGTGGCAAGGTTTCCGCGGAGGCCCATGTCTGGGAACCATGCAGCTGTTGATGAGATGCCGTGAGATGGGCACACAAGAAAAGCAAAACCCCACGACCCTGGAGCCCCCCCAACTCACACTTTTCACACGGTGCTGAAGGCCCGAAAAGCCGGCCGAAGGCGGCGAAAGCCTGCAAGGCCTCTGCTCTCTGCTCTCTTCATTGGGCTTAGGGGTTCGCCTTCGGAGCTTCAGAGAATCCTGGGTTGAGAAGGAGCGGTGTAGGAAGCTACCCCCCGGCTTGATGCATCGCTCAACGTTGTCAGGCCTTGTGGAACCTTGGAACTGAGGAGGCCGGGATATGGGAG